GGGTTGGTGAGGGGGGAAGGAGTCTGAGGGGAAAAATTGGGAATTTGTGGGGAAAAATTGGGAATTTGTGGGGAAAAATTGGGAATTTGTGGGGGAAGAGTTGAGGTTTGAGGACAAAGTTGGGATTTGAGGGGAAAAATTGGGGATTTGAGGGGGAAAATGGGGATTTGAGGGGGAAAAGGAGGGTTTGAGGGGAAAAATGTGGAATTTGAGGGGATAAAGGAGGGTTTGAGGGGGAAAATGGGGAATTTGAGGAGAAAAGTTGGGAATTTGGGGGGAAAAACAGGAATTATTTGGGGTAAAGGAAGGTTTGAGGGAAAAAAGTGGGATTTGGGCGTTTAAAGGGGGAATTTGAGGGATAAAGGAGGGTTTGAGGGGAAGAAAGGGAGGTTGGGAGGTGAAGGGAGAATTTGAGGGGAAAAACTGGGATTTGAGGAGAAAAGTTGGGATTTGAGGGGAAAAAATGGGGATTTGGGGAATAAAAGGAGGATCTGAGGGGAAAAATGGGGGGTTTGAGGGGATAAGAAAGGTTTTGAGGGGAAAAAATTGGGATTTGAGGGGAAAGAATTGGGATTTGAGGGATAAAGGAGGAGTAGAGGGGGGAAATGGGGATTTGAGGGAAAAAATTGGGGATTTGTTGGGAAAAGTTGGGATTTGAGGGGAAAAATGGGAAATTTGAGGGGAAAAATGGGATTTGAGAGGAAAAATTGGGATTTGAGGGGAAAAGTTGGGATTTGTGGGGAAAAATGGGAAATTTGAGGGGGAAAATGGGGATTTGAGGGGAAAAATGGGATTTGAGCGGGGAAAATGGGGAATTTGAGAGAAAAAAGGAGGATCTGAGGGAAAAAAGAGGATTTGAGGGGTAAAACTGGGAATTCAAGGGATAAAAATGGGAATTTGGGGGATAAAAGCGGGGATTTGGAGGATAAAAGTGAGATTTTTGAGGGGGAAAAATGGGAGTTTAGGAGAAAATTTGTATTTGAGAGGTGAAATTGAGATTTTGATGGTAAAAGTGTGTATTTGAGGGGAAAAAATGGGAATTTGGGGAATAAAAGCAGATTTTGATGGAAAAAAGCAGAATTTGAGGGATAAAAATGAGATTTTTGGGGGGAAAAAAAGCAGATTTTGAGGATAAAAGGGACAATTTGAGGGAAAAAAAGGGAATTTGGGGGATAAAAATGGGAAATTGAGGGAAAAAATGAGATTTTTGAGGGGGAAAAAAGCGGGTTTTGAGGGATAAAAAGGAGAATTTGGGCATTTTTGTTTTCCAGGTGGATTTTGGGAATAAAAATGAGATTTTGATGGATAAAAGGGAGAATCTGAGGGAAAAAATGGGAATTTGAGGGATAAAAACGGGAAACTGAGGGAAAAAATGAGATTTTGAGGGGAAAAAATGAGATTTTGGGGGGAAAAAAGCAGATTTTGAGGGAAAAAAGCAGAATTTGACTGATAAAAATGAGATTTTTTTGGGGAAAAAAGGAGAATTTGAGGGATAAAAAGGAGAATTTTGGGATTTTTGTTTTCCAGGTGGATTTTGGGGATAAAAATGTGATTTTTTTTTGGTGAATTTTGCAGGAGCTGGAGGCGATCAAGGCCCGGGTGAGGGAGATGGAGGAGGAGGCGGAAAAGCTGAAAGAGCTGCAGAACGAGGTGGAGAAACAGATGAACATGAGCCCCCCTCCGGGCAACGGTGAGAGGGGAAAAATGACCCAAAACGGCCCAAAATCAGCCCAAAAATGGCACCAAAATCAGCCCCAAAATGGCAACAAAAACGGATCAAAAATGGCACAAAAAACGGATCAAAAATGGCCCAAAAATGGCACAAATTCAGCCCAAAAATGGCACAAAATGACCCAAAAATGGCACAAAATGACCCAAAAATGGCAACAAAAACTGATCCAAAAATGGCCCAAATTCAGCCCAAAAATGGCCCAAATTCAGCCCAAAAATGGCAACAAAATCAGCCCAAAAATGGCAGAAAATGACCCAAAAATGGCCCAAAAATGGCCCAAATTCAGCCCAAAAATGACCCAAAATCAGCCCAAAAATGGCAGAAAATGACCCAAAAATGGCACAAAATCAGCCAAAAAAACCCTGGGGAAAAAAATTGACCAAAAATGGGGAAAAAATGGAAAAAAATTGAGCTAAAGTGGGAAAAAATGGAATTAAAATGGGGAAGATTTGAATTAAAATGGGGAAAAATGGAAAAAAATGGAATTAAAATGGGGAAAAATGAGGGAAAGTGGAATTAAAATGTGAAATTGGAATTAAAATGGGGGAAATCATCCAAAAAATCCCCTAAATTCCCCAAAAATCCCCAAAAACTCTCAGAAACCCCTAAAAATTAAAAAAAAAATCCCCAAAAACTCCTTTAAAAATCCACTAAAAAATCAAAAAAAAATTCCTAAAAAATCAAAAAAAAATCCCAAAAATCCCTAAAAAAATCCAAAAATCCCCAAAAACTCCCTGAAACCCCTAAAAATTAAAAAAAAAAAATCCCCAAAAAGTCCCTAAATAATCCCAAAAATCCCCTAAAAAATAGAAATAAAAAAAAATCCCAAAAAATCTAAAAATTAAAAAAAAAAAATCCCCAAAAAGTCCCTAAATAATCCCAAAAATCCCCTAAAAAATAGAAATAAAAAAAAATCCCAAAAAATCAAAAAAAATCCCAAAAATCCAAAAAAATCCAAAAAAAATTCAAAAAAAATCACAAAAAATCCCCTAAAAAATCCCCCAAAAAATCCCTAAAAAATAAAAAAAAAATCCAAAAAAATCCCCAAAATTCCCCAAAAATCCCCAAAAAAACTCCCAGAAATCCCTAAAAAATTTTAAAAAAATCCCAAAAAAATCCCAAAAAAATCACAAAAAATCCCCCCAAAAATCCCAAAAAAATCCCAAAAATCCCCCAAAAAATCCCTAAAAAATAAAAAAAATCCAAAAAAATTCCCAAAAAATCCCCAAAAATCCCCAAAAAATCCCAAAAATCCCCAAAATTCCCCAAAAATCCCCAGAAACTCCCAGAAGTCCTAAAAAATCCCTAAAAAATCCCAAAAATCCCCAAAAAAATTAAAAAAAAATGCAAAAAATCCCCCAAAAAATCGAAAAAAATCCCCAAAAAATCCCAAAAAAATCCCAAAAAATCCCCAAAAAAATCCCCAAAAATCCCAAAAAAAGTCCCCAAAATTCCCAAAAAAATCCCAAAAAATCCCCAAAAAAATCCAAAAAAATCCCAAAAAAATCCCAAAAAATCCCCCAAAAAATGCCCAAAAAATCCCAGAAAAATCCCAAAAAATCCCAAAAAAACCCCAAAAAAATCCCAAAAAAATCCCCCAAAAAATCCCAAAAAATCCCAAAAAAATCCCAAAAAATCCCCAAAAAAATCCCAAAAAATCCCCAAAAAACCCCAAAAAAATCCCAAAAAATCCCAAAAAAACCCCAAAAAATTCCCAAAAATTCCCAAAACCCCCAGAATTCCCAAACAATTCCCATTTTTCCCCCTCTCACAGCCGGCCCGGTGATCATGTCCCTGGAGGAGAAAATGGAAGCCGACGCTCGCTCCATCTACGTCGGCAACGTAAGGGACAAAAAAAACCCCAAAAAAACCCCAAAAAAAACCCCAAAAAATCCCAAAAAATTCCCAGAATTCCCCAGGAATGTTCTGGAATGTTTTTTTTTCCCCCCCAAGGTGGATTACGGCGCCACGGCCGAGGAGCTGGAGGCGCATTTCCACGGCTGCGGCTCCGTCAACCGCGTCACCATCCTCTGCGACAAGTACAGCGGGCACCCCAAGGGGTAATTTATGCAAATTTATGCTAATTTCCACTCGTTTATACCGGTTCATGCTGATTTGGGGTGGTTTATGGTGATTTATGGGGGTGTGGGCGGGGTTTATGGTAATTAGCGGGGGTTAGGCCGCGCCCCTGAGGGGGTTTTTCCCTGAGGGGAAAATGGCGGGAAAACGAAATTTGGGGGTTTTTTGAGGGGATTTTTCATTTTTTTGAGGGGATTTTGGGGGTTTTTCAGGTGGTTTTTGGGTTTTGGGGGTTTTTTGAGGGGTTTTTGGGGTTTTGAAGAATTTTGGGATTTTTTTGGGATTTTTTGGGGTTTTTTAAGTGTTTGTGTTTTGTGTTTTTTCAAAGGTCTTTTTTGAGGGTTTTCTTGCGTTTTTTGGGGGGAGTTTTGAGTATTTTGGGTTTTTTTTTTTTGAGGGGGTTTTAGGTTTTTTGGCAATTTTTAGGTTTTTAAAAGATTTTTGTGATTTTTTTGAATTTTTTAAGGGTTTTATTTGGTATTTTTGAGGTTTTTTTTCATTTTTTTGAGGTTTTTTGAGGGGATTTTGGGTTTTTTTAAGGGTTCTTTTAGGTTTATGCAGATTTATGCTAATTTGGGGTGGTTTATGGTGATTTATGGGGGTGTGGGCGGGGTTTATGGTAATTACCGGGGGTTAGGCCGCGCCCCTGAGGGGTTTTTTTCCCCTGAGGGGAAAATGGCGGGAAAACGGGATTTTGGGTTTTTTTATGAGGGAAAATCGTGGTTTTTGAGGGGATTTTGGGGGTTTTTTGGGTTTCTTGAGGTGTTTTTGGGTTTTTTGGAATTTTTAGGATTTTTAAAAAATTTTGGGGATTTCTTGGGGTTTTTTAAGGGTTTTTTTGGGTTTTTTAAAGGTTTTTTTTGAGGGTTTTCTTGCTTTTTTTGGGGGGGAGTTTTGAGTGTTTTGGGGTTTTTTTTTGAGGGGATTTGAGTTTTTTTGGCAATTTTTAGGTTTTTAAAAGATTTTTGTAATTTTTTTTGGATTTTTTTGGCTTTTATTTGGTTTTTTTAAGGGTTTTTTTTAGGGTTTTTTGAGTTTTTTTGGGTTTTTTTGAGGCGATTTTGGGTTTTTTTAAGGGTTTTTTTTAAGTTTATGCAGATTTATGCTAATTTGGGGTGGTTTGTGGTGATTTATGGGGGTGTGGGCGGGGTTTATGGTAATTAGCGGGGGTTAGGCCGCGCCCCTGAGGGGTTTTTTCCCCTGAGGGGAAAATGGCGGGAAAACGGGATTTTGGGTTTTTTTATGAGGGAAAATCGTGGTTTTTGAGGGGATTTTGGGGGTTTTTTGGGTTTCTTGAGGTGTTTTTGGGTTTTTTGGAATTTTTAGGATTTTTAAAAAATTTTGGGGATTTCTTGGGGTTTTTTAAGGGTTTTTTTGGGTTTTTTAAAGGTTTTTTTTGAGGGTTTTCTTGCTTTTTTTGGGGGGGAGTTTTGAGTGTTTTGGGGTTTTTTTTTGAGGGGATTTGAGTTTTTTTGGCAATTTTTAGGTTTTTAAAAGATTTTTGTGATTTTTTTGAATTTTTTAAGGGTTTTATTTGGTATTTTTGAGGTTTTTTTTCATTTTTTTGAGGTTTTTTGAGGGGATTTTGGGTTTTTTTAAGGGTTCTTTTAGGTTTATGCAGATTTATGCTAATTTGGGGTGGTTTATGGTGATTTATGGGGGTGTGGGCGGGGTTTATGGTAATTAGCAGGGGTTAGGCCGCGCCCCTGAGGGGTTTTTTTCCCCTGAGGGGAAAATGGCGGGAAAACGGAATTTTGGGTTTTTTTATGAGGGGAAATCGTGTTTTTTGAGGGGATTTTGGGGGTTTTTTGGGTTTCTTGAGGTGTTTTTGGGGTTTTTGGGTTTTTTAAGGAATTTTGGGGATTTTTTGGGATTTTTTGTTAATTTTTTTTTTAGGTTTTTAAGTGGTTTTTATGTGTTTTAAGGGGTTTTTTTTAGGTTTTCTCGCAGTTCTTTGAGGGCTTTTAAGCGGCTTTTTGAGGTTTTTTGAGGGTTTTTTGAGGGGATTTTGGGTTTTTTGCATATTTTTAGGGTTTTTTAGGTTTTTAAAGGATTTTTGGGATTTTTTTGGGATTTTTTTTGGGATTTATTTGGGTTTTTTAAGCAGATTTTTAGGGATTTTTTTGAGGTTTTTTAAAGGGTTTTTTTTACATTTTTTTGAGGATTTTTGGGGTTTTTTGAGGCGATTTTGGGGTTTTTTAAGGGGTATTTTTTAGGTTTATGCAGATTTATGCTAATTTGGGGTGGTTTATGGTGATTTATGGGGGTGTGGGCGGGGTTTATGGTAATTAGGGTTTATGGTGATTTATGGGGGTGTGGGCGGGGTTTATGGTAATTAGTGGGGGTTATCCCCCAAAAACCCTAAAAAAAATCCCAAAAAAAATGCCAAAAAATCCCAAAAAAAACCCCAAAAAACGCCAAAAAAAATCCCAAAAAAATCCCAAAAAAAACCCAAAAAATCCCCCAAAAATCCCCAAAAAATCCAAAAAAAATCCCCAAAAAATCCCAAAAAAATCCCAAAAAATCCCAAAAAAATCCCAAAAAAATCCCAAAAAACCCAAAAAAACCCCAAAAAAACCCCAAAAAAAACCCAAAAAATCCCTCAAAAAATCCCAAAAAATTCCAAAAAAACTCCAAAACAATCCCCAAAAAGTTCCAAAAAATCCCCCAAAAAAATCCCAAAAAATTCCTCAAAAAATCCCAAAAAAAATCCCCAAAAAATCCCTAAAAAATCTCAAAAAAAATCCACAAAAATTCCCCCAAAAATCCCAAAAAAAGTCCCAAAAAAACCCCAAAAAAATCCCAAAAATATCCCAAAGGAATCGCAAAAAAACCTGAAAAAAACCCAAAAAAATCCAAAAAAAACCCCCAAAAAAATCCCAAAAAATCCCCAAAAAAATCCAAAAAAAAACCCCAAAAAATCCCAAAAAATCCCGCAAAAAATCCCCAAAAATTCCAAAAAAAATCCCAAAAAAACCAAAAAAAAATCCCCAAAAATCCCCCAAAAAACCCCAAAAAATCCCAAAAAATCCCAAAAAAAATCCCCAAAAATTCCCCAAAAAATCCCAAAAAAAACCCCCAAAAATTCCCAAAAAAATCCCAAAAAATTCCCATGAACTCCCCACCCCTCCCCCACTCCGGGGGGGGTCCCTCCAGGGCCGGAATTCCGGGAAAATTCCGGCTCTGACCTCGTCTCCTCCCCCGGCAGCTTCGCCTACATCGAGTTCTCCGACAAGGAGTCGGTGCGAACCTCCATGGCGCTGGACGAGTCGCTGTTCCGCGGCCGACAGATCAAGGTCAGAGCCCCCAATTCCCACAATTCCCAACATTCCCAACATTCCCAACCCTTCCCCAGTTTTCCCAAATTTTTCCCAATTTTTTGGATTTTTTTCCGATTTTTTTCCCATTTTTTTTCGATTTTTTTTCGATTTTTTTCCGATTTTTTCCCCAATTTTTTTCCGATTTTTCTCAGGTTTTTCCCCATTTTTTTTCCTGATTTTTTACCCAATCTTTCCCAATTTTCCATCATTTTTTCCTGCTTTTTTTCCCCATTTTTCCCATTTTTTCCCCATTTTTTTGAATTTTTTTTCGATTTTTTTCCCATTTTTCCCCAATTTTTTTCCATTTTTTCTGAGGTTTTTCCCCATTTTTTTTCCTGATTTTTTGCCCAATCTTTCCCAATTTTCCATCATTTTTTCCTGCTTTTTTCCCCAATTTTTTCTGATTTTTTTCCCCATTTTTCCCCAATTTTTCCCCATTTTTTCCCCCTCCATGGCGCTGGACGAGTCGCTGTTCCGCAGCCGACAGATCAAGGTCAGAGCCCCAAATTCCCACAATTCCCAACATTCCCGACATTCCCAACCCTTCCCCAGTTTTCCCAAATTTTTCCCAATTTTTGGGGATTTTTCCCGATTTTTTTTCGATTTTTTTTCGATTTTTTTCCGATTTTTTCCCCAATTTTTTTCCGATTTTTCTCAGGTTTTTCCCCATTTTTTTTCCTGATTTTTTACCCAATCTTTCCCAATTTTCCATCATTTTTTCCTGCTTTTTTCCCCAATTTTTTCTGATTTTTTTCCCCATTTTTCCCCAATTTTTCCCCATTTTTTCCCCCTCCATGGCGCTGGACGAGTCGCTGTTCCGCAGCCGACAGATCAAGGTCAGAGCCCCAAATTCCCACAATTCCCAACATTCCCGACATTCCCAACCCTTCCCCAGTTTTCCCAAATTTTTCCCAATTTTTGGGGATTTTTCCCGATTTTTTTTCGATTTTTTTTCGATTTTTTTCCGATTTTTTTCTGATTTTTTTCGATTTTTTCCCGATTTTTCTTAGGTTTTTTCCCCATTTTTTTCCTGATTTTTTGCCCAATTTTTCCCCATTTTCCATCATTTTTTCCTGCTTTTTTTCCCCATTTTTTCCTATTTTTTCCCCATTTTTTTTGAATTTTTTTTCAATTTTTTTCCGATTTTTTCTCCCATTTTTCCCAATTTTTTTCCATTTTTTCTGAGTTTTTTCCCCATTTTTTTCCTGATTTTTTCCCCAATTTTTCCCCATTTTTTCCCATTTTTTCCCCAATTTTCCCCATTTTTTCCCTATTTTTTTTGAATTTTTTTTCGATTTTTTTCCCATTTTTCCCCAATTTTTTTCCATTTTTTCTGAGGTTTTTCCCCATTTTTTTTCCTGATTTTTTGCCCAATCTTTCCCAATTTTCCATCATTTTTTCCTGCTTTTTTTCCCCATTTTTTCCTATTTTTTCCCCATTTTTTTTGAATTTTTTTTCAATTTTTTTCCGATTTTTTCTCCCATTTTTCCCAATTTTTTTCCATTTTTTCTGAGGTTTTTCCCCATTTTTTTTCCTGATTTTTTGCCCAATCTTTCCCAATTTTCCATCATTTTTTCCTGCTTTTTTTCCCATTTTTCCCCATTTTTTCCCCATTTTTTTGAATTTTTTTTCAATTTTTTTTCCCATTTTTTTCCAATTTTTTCCCAATTTTTTTCCATTTTTTCTGAGGTTTTTCCCCATTTTTTTTCCTGATTTTTTGCCCAATCTTTCCCAATTTTCCATCATTTTTTCCTGCTTTTTTCCCCAATTTTTTCTGATTTTTTTCCCCATTTTTCCCCAATTTTTCCCCATTTTTTCCCCCTCCATGGCGCTGGACGAGTCGCTGTTCCGCGGCCGACAGATCAAGGTCAGAGCCCCCAATTCCCACAATTCCCAACATTCCCAACCCTTCCCCAGTTTTCCCAAATTTTTCCCAATTTTTGGGGATTTTTCCCGATTTTTTTTCGATTTTTTTCTGATTTTTTTCGGATTTTTTTCCGATTTTTTTCGGATTTTTTTCCAATTTTTCTCAGGTTTTTTCCCATTTTTTTTCCTGATTTTTTGCCCAATCTTTCCCAATTTTCCATCATTTTTTCCTGCTTTTTTTCCCCATTTTTTCCTATTTT